AATGTGCCGGAGCCGACGGGATCCCGCCTGAATTATTGAAACACGGCGGACCCGCGTTGTTGACTGTGCTGCACCACTTGGTGCAACGTGTATGGATTGAGGAGGAGGTGCCTGCTGAGCTGAAGGATGCCCTTGTGCTACCACTGTACAAAGATAAAGGGAGCAAGCAATGTTGCACAAATTACCGTGGCATCAACTTGCTGAGTTGTGTGGGCAAGGTGATTGCCCGCATCCTGCTCAACCGCCTCGTCAGTCAGGTTGTGGAACCGAACGTGGCGGAAGAGCAGTGTGGATGTCGCTCGGGTCGCAGCACTATATATATGGTGTTTGTGTCTTGTCAGTTGCAGGAGAAGTGCAGAGAACGACACCAGCTATTGTACTCGCTTTTTGTTGATTTCACCAAGGCATATGATACGGTGAACCGCGAGGCATTGTGGCTGGTGTTGGGTAAGTTTGGTTGCCCGCGTAAGTTTGTAAGTTTAATTGAATGTAGATGGAAATTGGGTATTGCCCACCCGAAAACACTGCACAGCCACGACGCGTTTCGATGTAATTTCATCTCATCAGGTGGAGACAGCAGGATTTGAACCCACGACCATTGGAATAGCAGCCCACACTACTACCCCTTTGGCTACCGGGTCACGATGGGCAACGCTTTTTGTCACAACGGTAAATGACTAATTGGAGGGTCAAGTTTGGACTACACGTTGTGTAATTGGATTGCGACACGCAACCTCAATTGAATGTCTGCAGTGTTATGCGAGCAAGGGTGCAGCTGAGTGGAGAGACCTCGGATGACTTTGCAGTTGTCACCAGTGTGAAGCAAGGCTGTGTCTTAGCCCCTGCCCTGTTTAATCTTTCTCTTGATGCAATGATGTGTTGTGCTTTTGATGCGGCTTGTGCTTACGGTGTTCGTGTGGAGCACCGTATTGATGGTGGGTTGCTGAACATCCGTCGTTTCGGTGCGAGAACTCTAATCTGTGAGACAACTATCCGTATGTTGCTGTTTGCTGACGACTGTGCGTTGTTTTCACACAGCACGGATGAGTTGCAGCACATGACTAGTGCTCTAGCTTCGACAGCTGCACCAGTTGGGCTCACCATCAACACAAGCAAAACTGTCTGTCTCTTTCAGCCTTCACCGGAGGTGCAATCTTCAATATTGCCGCGAATCAGCATTGGTGCTGAAGTATTGGAAACCACCTCCCGCTTCAGCTGTCTTGAGAGTGTGATGTCGACTGATCAGCAGCTACACAGTGAGCTGCGTATTCGCGTGTCAAAAGCAGCGGCGGCATTCGGGAAGCTTGAGTACCGAGTGTGGAACAACCATCAGCTTAGCATTGGCACGAAGCTGATTGTGTACAAATCCATGGTGCTGTCCTTTCCTCTATACGGCAGTGAACCGTGGACGATGTGCCGGCGGAATGTGCGATATCTCGAGCGGTTCCATCCACAATATATATATATATATATATATATATATATATATATATATATATATATATATATATATATATATATATATATATATATATATATATATATATATATATATATATATATATATATATATATATATATATATATATATATATATGTATATAATGATTTGGCGGTGTCCGGATCCGGATTTGCTTGTCACTGAGACCTCCATGGCGAGCCACAGGAGGCCTGGGCTTTAATGAGGACCATGAGTGGCTTGCGCTGCACCACTAAAAGTTCCACGCACACACCACATATTGGGTGTAAACCCGAAGCAATAAGACCGGGAGGCATGTGGATAGGAACCACGTTCCATCAACGGAGCCGGCCCACACTCCTTCAACAAGCAGAACAGAAGCATTCTGACCTGACTGGGAAATCATGAACATCATACGTACACATGGCGATGGCTGGACCGTAGCTCGCTCCACACAGGATGGAACCACTCTTTGAGCTTAGCACCGTCACGAGGACGGTGCACCCCGTCCGCTCCAGCAACGATCAACTGTCTACTGGAGCCAGTATGGACGAGGTAGTGGGTAATAAACAGGTAGGCACCACGTCAACATTCACTTCAGGCGCAGCTACACCGGGGACCTCAAACGTCTACTTGTGAAATGCAATATTACTCAGCACGCAGACAAACGTATCGCATAAGCCGCCTTATTGGCCTGGATTAATAAATCGTAATTAATAATAAAATAAATCGTAAGTAATAAATCGTTCGCATCGTGCTTCTATTCCGCGTCCAATAGTGCCTTCTCCTGCACCTGAGCAACCGTTATTTTGAGCAGTCCACGGAATTCGCATTGATTGCATCTGCCTTGAGTGCGCAACACCTGAAATCAACATGAGTTTGTAATAAACTCACTTTCTTCATGTTCTGGTAATGTTATTTTCTGTTTGCTCGAGTGCCGTTTCCCTGCACTAAGTTGGCCGTACAAAAGCGGTATGAGTATCCTCGTCGAATTCATTCGGCATACATATATACATGGATTGGCATCATCCGTGTCCAATGGCATTTCAACTACAACATATGCACATGCGTTTCCACGGACTTAATTATGAAATGCCACAAAACTGGATAGACACATTAGACCTCATGAACAATAATACTAAAAAGGTGTATGGGTTTCGTTTGGAGGTCAGGCTAACAGTTACTCGCACAGGCAAGAGAATAGGTACCCAATACGAACTGTTGGTGTTCGCTTATTACGGCCTCACTGGCACGACAACTACCACAGTACCACATCAACTGTCCCGCTGCCCACTGTCAAACATGCTATTTTGCAGTGTTCGCATTGTTTTGCAAATGTCCAAGACGTAGCATGGCTGTCATCCAAATACCCATCCGTTTGTACACACCGTTGTGTATGCTGTTGTGGCCATAAGCTATTTGGTTACGATCTGCATCGTACGCTTCGGGTGCAGCTATTGGGTGCTCCTAAAATAAACAATTTTCGCTATGCACCGATTCCTTTCCGATGTAACTGACTAAGACACTGATGTGCCATTATCGTTGGCATTACCTTCTTCTTAGTCTACCCAATCGTCATACTGTTTTCGTCGAACCAGTCGGCCCGCTTAGTTTGTACACCCAATCGTCTCCTCCGTAGCAAGTCACTTGTTTCAAGTGGTCCGATAGGACGCTGACAGAAGCCGAGAAGTCGTCTTCGCCGAGGCGAGTTCTTATGGCATCCATCAGTGCTTGTCTCTTTGCTGCACTCATAAGGGCGCGTAAGTTGTATTTCCTCCGATTGCCACTCGCTGGAAAGTACGACGATTTGTAGACATTTATGTAGAACTTTGTGCGCACCAGCTTATGATCAGTCCCATATTCAGCTCCACGCATTACCCGCGTTATGCGCACTCCACGCATGTCCCTTTGACGTACGATGACGTAGTCTAGCAAGTAAGCATGACCAATCTGTGGGTGGGTCCATGTAGCAATGTCACTAGCACACAGAGCGAACTGCGTGTTCGTGACCGTCAAGCTATGAGTGGTGCACAATGAAAGCAAACGCTCTCCGTTTCCATTGACTATCCCAATCCCGTGCGGCCCAATCATCTCAGCCCACACTGTGGCATCACGCCCTACACGTGCACTGAAGTCACCAAGTAGGAATATTCAATTACCCATTGGCACAGACCTTATAATAGTGGCCAATTGTGAGTAGCAATGATCGTACGTGCCCTCCGAATAACTCATCGTGGGACCATACGTGCTAATAAATGTTGCGAACTCACCACGTCTGAGGCATATACGGAGAGACATCAACCGTGGGCGGATACCAACCGGCTCCCCCGTCAAGCGGCCATTCAGGCGGTCAGTAAGTGCAAATCCGATGCCTTGTTCATGTGGTGATGCGTCGGGATTTCCAATCCAGTAGAAAGTGTACCCAGCACCATCCTCTCGCAATTTACCTTGATCAGCCCAGTCGGGTCTCACTCAGCGCTGCGATATCAATGTCATACTGCGCAAGCTCCATGGCGACTAACGCGGTTCGTCGCGTAGGTCGATGAGTAGTGTCCCGATCGTGCTGTGTGCGCACATTCCAGCATCCAACCTTGAGTGTTTGGCGTGCTGGCCTGCGGCCACGTGTGGCTCTTGATGTCAATGGCGGAGATATGGTTGGATTTGTCTCGTTCGAAGGTTGGAATGAAAAAATTGATTGAGGCGAGAGTTCAACAAGTCATCTAGTGCATTTTTGAGACCATCCTCAATGGCAACGTGAAAGAGGAATGGATAGATAGGGCATCTCTGTCGAATCCCACTGGTGACAACAAAGGAAGGCGAAAGCTTGCTATAAGCCATAACTCTACCCGAGGTCAGACTATACAGAGCACGCAGTACGGAAACAAACTTCCCGAGAATGCCATTCCTCAGCAGACAATGCCACAATGCAGCCCTGTCGACAGAATCGAAGGCAGCACAGAAATCCAAGAACATAACAACCGTTGGATTTTAATACACACGGCGGAGCTTGACAATCTGACGGTGTGGAAATCTGATCGATGCAGCCGCAATCAGGGTGGAACCCAGTCTGTTCTTCTCGCTGTAGTACTTCACATGTTAGGGATCAGGTGCGAAGTATGATGGACACTATAATCTTGCAAACGACGGGAACCAAACTTATGCCCTTGTACTTGGCGTACTTTGTGCGCAGGCCCCTTCTGAAGATGACGATGACTATCGACTCACTCCAGGATGATGGAATCTCCTCTTTTGCTCAGACTCCTGAGAACAAAGTGGTGAGTTTTCGTACCAACGAATAGCCCCCATCTCTAAATAGATCAGCAGGTAGACCATCAGATCCCGGGTGCCTTATAACGCTTTAGGCAGCACAGTTCCCGCCAGATTTCCTGGTGAGAGGGAGGATCACTGGGGATAGTCCGCTCTGGGGAAACAGATGGAGCTGGCGGCCAGGAACACTTCGACCGAAAATGTTCGGCCCATTACTCCAACCGTCGTTGAAGATTAATGATTAGGGAGCCATTATCTTCGCAGCTACTTTCGCTTACTTCAGATCGGAAGCCTTGGTGACTCGGATGAGGTGCAACCGTTTTCTGGTGTTATCAGAGAGATTAGCAAGTTTCATCTCTCTAACACGTTCACACCACCAGGTCTCACGGTCCTTCTGTAAACTCATACGTAACGCTCGATCCAGGAATCGGCGTTCATTACTATAGCTGGTGTCGGTTGGGATCAAGCGGTGTCTATCAGCGACAAGGAGGTAGTGATGATCCAGCTTTTCAGCGGGTGACAAGCAATTCCACAACTGACAGTACTGGCAGTCTTTGATGCGCATCCATTGCGAATTCCGACCATCGTCAGAAGATGAAGCAAACAGTGTTGAAAGAGTAGCCTGGTACTTGGCTAACGTCGCAGGATGTTGCAGGTTTCCAACGTCCGGTCGGTAGTGCATACGTCTGGATGATCCGCCGAAACGCATGCAAATCTTGGCACGAACTTGTGCGTGATCGGAGTCCAGACAGGTTGACCAGTACGAACGGCAGTCTGCTGCGCTTCCGTGCCATCTGTAGCTTATTGCTATGTGGTCAAGCTGGGATCACTCTTGCGTTTGAGAATGCGGACGCCATGTAGCAGTCCGTCTTTTCAAATGCCGAAAACTGGTGCTCAAAACAAACAAGCGATGATCTGAACAAAGTCAGTAGCCTGTTCGAAATGAATTGGAATATTGATAGCTCGGGAGGCTTGCTCAGTTGTTGTGGAGTTCTCCGAGCTGGGCAACTTGGTTGCAACCAAGTTGCCCAGCTCGGAGAACTCCACAACAACTGATCAGTAGCCTGTCTCCATTGTCTTCTACCGAGGCCAAAACTACCTCTAAGATGGTGCTCGCTTGTTGGCAGGCGGCCCACTCCTGCGTTAAAATCTCTGGCATGGATGACAATATCAGGTTTTTCCGAGGAACGCAGGTCATGTAGCTATTGATAAAAGCAATCTTTGACTGCATCCGGGCTGCAGTCTATAGGAGCGTAGGCGGAGATGACGTGTAACATCTCGGCGCTTATCTAACTAACGTAAACCTCATAGTCTGACTGCACATAGCCGAATCTTGACTGGGATCCAGTTAAGCAAAGCGGCCTCTGCTCTGTCACTCAGTGCAACCCCAACACCAGCTTGGCCAGCAGCGGCGTCCTCTGGGTCTCCGGGAAGGCGCAAGTGGTATTTGACATCAGAGTTTGCCGGAGAGTTCGTTGTGATGATGGTGGTGGCGTCTTGCAACCTGGTTTCGGAAAGGCAACAGATGTCCACCGAGAGTGTCTCAAGCGTGCGGGCCAGGCATGCTTGTCGTCCGATCTGCATCAGAGTGCGCACCTTGAACGCTGCAAAGCCGATTGGGGAACCAGGTCGAAGGTAAGCTCAGGCTTAGATGGCGTGCGAGAATCTCGTGACCACCGGGCAACGAACACCAAAAGTTTGGCGCAAGGCTGTCAGAGGCGACCAGTGAGTTGTTGTTGGTGACCGGGGAAGATAAATGTAGTTAAGGAACGGGACGCGGGACGATCCGTAAGCGGATGTTGAGCGGCAGAGACAGGATAGCCAGAAGACATAGCAATGAAAGCAGCAATATACTCCATTCATGGTTCCTCAGTAGGCGTGATACTACGCGATTGCCCAGGTCGAAGTAGAGGGTTGTCTTAGGGGGCCCCACCCAAAGCCTTTGGTACAGGATATCCAGGAATGCAACGATGATAGGCCTCTGGTAAAGGTGGCGGTGTTCCAGAATTTGAGGGAGTGTGAATATCTGATTCACACACCCACGGCCAGCTTGTTCTTCCCGGTACCGCGATTCGCCAGTGGGAGATAGTCTACAGAGTAGAATGGATGTCAAAAGCTTGGAGGTAACCGAAACCAGATTACTCCCCCGCTGCTTGATGCATGAAGTGTGAGCACCCTTCAGGACAATAGTTGACTTACTCCGTTGAATGACCTAAATCAATCATGAGTTTCCATCACTTTCTGGCTTTCTGTCTTGGCGTACGAATAGATCTCGTGTCTGAGATCTTGTCTTCTTCCTACCTTCCGGGGTTAGGGCTATAGACGGGTGCCGGATTTATGTCGCATTCGTGGTTCTTTGCCGTGATTTCTTTGTGAGTGTTCAGTTTTCCTCGGCTTGGGGAACCGGGAAGTACCATGCCCACGCAACATATGAACCAATTTTCAACGACTTCCTACTCTCTCTTTCTGCTCTTTGCCAACCCTTCCCTCGGCCTAGGTGCTGGCGGCTGAACATGCTATATCGCGCTCTCACGCACCACAGTTTATTTACTTTATTTCACCTTTGTTCAGTTCCTCCATCCTTGGTAATCCCCTCCCGTTTCCGAGTCCACATCATGCCGCCTTGGGCGGGTTCTCGCCATACGGATCAGGAATTTAGGTCCCAGGGTGTGCCGCCAAGTAGTACTGGCAAACCTTTTCTAGCGGCCCGTTCCCAATTCAAGCTGGCAACTTTTAACGTCCGGACGCTGATGCAGATCGGATCACAAGCAGCCCTTGCTCGCACGCTTGAGACTACTGCCATTGATCTCTGCTGCCTCACTGTAACCCGATTACGGGATCCTAGCACGACACTACGACTGGTTTCACCGTCTACGCGTTCCATTAGCATTTTCACCGTGCGCTTACCTAGAGACGAAACTGCCGAAGCCGCTGGTCTTGCCGGTGTGGGGATTGCGTCAAGCACACATGCTAAGACTGCGCTACTTGACTGGATCCCTGTCAACAGTCGACTCTGTGCTATTCGACTTGAGACCTCCGTGCGACTTTCCAGCAGTTGGGCTAGCAGACGCTGCTTGTACGTTGTAGCTGCATACACTCCCACAGACTGCAGCTCGGAGTCAGCTATAGACGAGTTCTATTGTCAACCTTCCGACCCACGAAAAAAGCACCGTACAAACATCGTGATGCTTACAGGGGACCTAAATACGCAAGTCGATAGACTTGAAGTTTTTGAGCCTGACCTTGGTGGTCAACATGGCCATGGCACTCGCAGAATATATATATATATATATATATATATATATATATATATATATATATATATATATGCTGCATTCATTTTACTAACCGCGTGCTTGCATGCTAAGTCTCTTTATTTCAGGTGGTGGGTTTTCAATTTTGTCCTAATGATTTTTCTCAAATAAATGTCTACCTGTACTCTCTTCTATAAACTTGCACACGTCGCTTAAGCCAGTTGTAGTTAATTTTGATAACATTTTCGTGTTTATGGCATTACCGTAAAAGATACTTTCTGACCTCGTGAACTTATCTCGAATACTTTCGTTAACAAGTTATTTCATATGCTCATTAATTTAAGGTTTATGTCACCGTTTCCTTATGCATTACTCGAAATATTTTCTTGGTTATCTTTCAAGTGACTGGCTGTTGTTTGATATCCCCGGTGTGGCTGCGCTTGATGTGCGTGTAGACAACGTGCCTACCTGTCTGTTACACACTACTTCGTCCATACTGGCTCTAGGAGACAGTTGGTTGTTACTGGAGGGGAGGGGTGCACGGTTCTTGTGGCCATGTTAAAATCAGAGTGGTTCCATGCACTTAGTGTGGAACGGACTACGGTCCAGTCACCGCCTTGTGTGCGCTTGATTCTCCAAATACAGTGTGCTTGTGTTTGCCTGTGAAGGAGTGTGGGCCGGCTCCGTTGATGTAACGTGGCTCCCATCCACATGCATCGCGGTCTTATTGCTTCAGGTTTACACTGGATATGGGGTGTGTGGATGGAGCTGTGGGTGGTGCATCGCAAGCCACCCATGTTCCCTCTGTAGGCGCGGGCGTCCTGTGGCTGACCACAGTGACAGGCGAATCCGAAACTGGATGCCGCCAACCATATGTATATGCTGAGGCTGATGCTGTATCCTTAATGCTTCTTCACCGCAGTTGGGCTAAACCAGCTTACACTTAAACTAGGCCTTTTTAAACTGACTAAATTTCATTCCACTTTATTTGGTTTGTTCTGCCTACCTGAATAATCTTCTGTTATCTGACCACGTTGCTTGCGCTTATTGCGCTTCTCTTCGGTAACTTTGTTGCGTTTGTAGCATTCATATGTAACTTGTGGGCATTTTTTACTTATCGCCTATTCGTTGCTAACCAACTTACTTCATATGCTAGTTTACCGAAGAGTTATGTCACCGTATCTGTATGTATTGTTGGATTTATTTTATTACATCTTGTCGTCTCAAGTGAATGGCTGTTGCTTGATATCCCCGATGTGGCTGCGCTTGATGTGCATGTTGACAAGATGCCTACCTGTCTATTACTCACTACCTCGTTCACTGGCTCCAGGAGACAGTTGGTCGTTGCTGGAGGGGACGGTGTGCACGGTCCTTGTGGCCGTGCTAGGCTCGAAGGCCGGTTCTTTGCACTCAGTGTGTATTTGTGTCGTGCAATCTTCATCTCACTCACCTACTCAAGGGCAAAGGCAAAATGCCCTTTGCAATTCCAATGTTGTGAAGGAAGCTGAAGGGTCACACGACAGACTGCTACTTCTGCCTAACCATTGTCATTGGAATCTCTAACCGAAACAAGGGCAAAATTCATTACCCGGGTATTCCATCAGCTATTCGACCTGTTCCTCATGATTACACCTTACCCATTCCAGTGCCCCGACTGAACATGACACTGATGATAAGTAGTGATTCCTTATCAAAAATTTCCCCTGATTCTGACATCTGATGTTGTCAACCTACATCTTATTGAACTATCAGAGATGAATAATTTGATACGTGACCTGGGCTTGCCTAAAGACAAGGCCGAGTTGCTGGCATCTCGGCTGCAGTAGTGGCACTTGCTGCAAACTAAGGTTACTGTGTACAGAAAGCAAGGAGTTAACTTGCTCAGTTTCTGTGATATGAGCGAAACCTTTTGTTACTGTTCTAATGTGGAAGGACTAATGAAGGAGCTTGGCGTGAGGCATAGTGATGATGAATGGCGTTTGTTCATTGACTCGTCCAAGAGTAGTCGTAAGGTCATACTGCTGCACAATGGAAATGGGTACCCAGGCGTGCCTCTGTTGCATGCCACTAATATGAAGGAAAGAAAGGCAAGTTATACAACAGATACTCGCTGCACTGAATTACGATAAATACTATTGGAACATCTGTGTGTCATTGGACTCCTAATGGGTATGCAAGGAGGCTTCACAAAATATTGCTGTTTCTTGTGCTTATGAGATAGTAAAGCAACTCAACAGCACAACCGAAAAGTGTCCAGAGAGGACGGAGTGTGTTGCAGGGAAAATAAGTGTAAAGCTTACACCTCTTGTGTAACCTGATCGTATCTATCTACCACCTCGGCACATTAAGCTTGGTCTGATTAAAAGCTTCCTCAAGGCCCTCAAGCGAGATGCTTTCGCGTTCCAGTACAAGTGTTTCCGAAGATCAGTGATACGAAGCTCAAAGAGGGGATACCTATTGGGCCTGATATTCGCCGGATACTAGTAAACAGTGCTTTCGAATGCCAGTTGACTTCATTTGAGTTAGAAGCGTGGCGATCATTCAAAGCGGTCTGTACAGCATTTTTGGGCAGAACAAAGCAGCGAGCTACAAAGATGCCACAAAAAGCTCATTGCAGACTGTCGAGCTGTTGGTGCTCGAATGTCGCTCAAGATGCACTTTTTGCATCATCATCTGACTTTTTCCCTGAGAACTAGAGATCTGTTTGCGATGGGCATGGTGAGCACTTTCACCAAGCCATTTCAGTCATGGTGCAGCGCTACAGTGACAAGTACACGTCTTTTATGGGGGTGGGGGTGACGCTTGTTTCTGCAGCGTGAGGACGCTGAATAATGCAAGCGATGATCTCCGCGAAGTCCTCATTTCCCTGTGCCAAGCCGCAGTAAGTAGTTCGCGTCCAGTGTGCAGTAATGTTTTAAACATGCTTGCTACATAAATGCATTATGTATGCGTTGTGAATCAGTACCTTTACATATAATTCGTACGGCCCAGCCTTGTCATTACTTAAACTAATCATTTGCTTATAACAATGTAATCTGACGTGCTAGGTAACATCGGAATACATTTCTACAATCAGTGGAGTGTATTCTATAAGGTAGGGACATTGACATTTCTGTCATAGAAAATAAATTTTGTTGTTGCAGTGTTATTTTCTCATCAGACCCACTGGATACAAATCACATGCTATCATTGGGACAATCGGCGCGTTAACCGCTACAAGCGTCTGGATCGCTGAGCAGAGCATTTCGCTCTTCATTTTAATTATCCACTTCAACCACCGTTGCCATCCCCTTATCCATCATGTGGTAAATGGCTTGTGTGCACAGACCC